TTCTTGTTGGAGGCCAGGATGCCGTTGGCCTTCTTGGGCACGCTGCTGGCTCATGTTCAGTCACCTGTCCACCAGCACCTCCAGATCCTTGTCTGCCAGACAGCTTTCCAGCTACTCCTCCCCAGGCCTGTAGCATTGCCTGGGGTGGTTGTGATCGAAGTACAGGACCTGGCACTTGGCCTTGTTGAACTTCGTACAGCCGACCTTGTCCCGTCGATCCAGCCTGTCCAGATCCCTTGGCAGAGACTTCCTACCCATGAACAGATCAATATTGTCACTCATTTTGGTGTCATCTGCAAAATTACTGAGGATGCACTCAATCCCCTCATCCAGATCATTGATAAAGGTATTAAACAAGAGTGGCCCCAAAACTGAGCCCTAGGGAGCACTGTTTGTGACTTGCCGCCAGCTGGATTTTACTCCGTTCACCCCAACTCTCTGGGCTTGGCCACCCAGCCAGTTTTTAACCCAGTGAAGAGTCCAACTGTCTATGCCATGGGCCACCAGCTTCTCTATAGGAATGCTGTAGGAGACTGTGTCAAAGACCTTACTGAAGTCCAGGTAGACTCTTCGTACTAATAACACGTGTCGTTAGTTAAGACCTAAATGAGCTTAATGAAAGTGATGTTCTGCCTTGAAATAGTTTGTTGGTTACGTTTTTTGGTAGAGAGGTTTTTTGTGCCAGCAATATCCAGGTGCTTTGTCATGGTTTTCCCCACATCCCATTTCTTGGCCTTAGGTTGGAGAAGAACAAGGGCAAGAAAATCCCCCAGATCATGACCCCATTCATGACCAAAGTTGGTACTTGGACCAGACCTTACGTAAGCGACTCTATGACGAGTATGGTGTACAAGGCTGGGCAATAGTGCAGTTCCTTGGAGATGCTGTATTCATTCCTGCAGGTGCTCCCCATCAGGTGAGTATACCAACTCTAGTTCATGTTGACAAATAGAATTGCATTCGAGGCACAACAAGGCTACAGCTTCACCATAACATAGTTTAATATTATTGACTTAGGCTCCTTTTTCTACATCTGCAGTTCTTACAGGAGCTATTTGAATTGGATCTCATTATATTAGTAAAAATTATATAAATACCTGAATTATATATAGAGTACTGTGATGAAATGGTGGAGGAAAAAATAAAAAAAAGACTATATGATGGGAAAACATTTCTGCATAGTGAAACTTCAGCCAAGGGGACAAAATTCCAAAAAAGTGTGAAGAACAGTAGAGGACTTGCCTTAGGGAACACTAGTGTATGTGGGAGAGTAGGGAACATGAGACAAGTGATGTATTTTTTTCTAGTTTGACTAGAATTTACAATTCTGTGTGAGGTCGAATAGTGTTCAGTTCCTGTTGCTGATAAGTTAATGTGGAAGAATGTAACATGACAGGGGGCAGGGCTGTTGGGTTTTTGTCTTATTCATTCATTCTTGATTTATTTGTCATTTTAGGTCCATAATTTGTACAGCTGCATTAAAGTGGCAGAAGATTTTGTATCTCCAGAACATGTGAAGCATTGCTTCCGTCTGACCCAGGAGTTCAGGCACCTGTCCAATACTCACACAAACCATGAGGATAAACTGCAGGTAACCATTTTACAACAGTATTTGTTAAATATAGCCTGTGTTTTGCCACCTTTGTTCAATGTTAGAAACACGTAGCTAGTGATTTAAGGGGAAGACAGAAAAAAAAACAAAAAAAAACCAAAAAAACCCACATAGCTTTCCACAACTTTGGAAGTTCTCATTTTGTAAGTTTTTAGAAAATAATTAATGCACCTATATCTACAGTATTATGGAAACAACATTTAGTAGTAAACTTTTTACTAGTAAACATTTAGTAGTGAATTTGCACACTATTGGACTAGTGCATATGTGGGTATTATAAATAGGTGAATCCTGAGTGACAGTGAAGTGTAGGAGGAAAAAAAAAGAAGCAGCTAGTAGAACAGAAGAAATAGTGCTTTGTTTTGAAGAGAGATGTTTATTTGACCAAGGACACTCGTATTTCTTCCTTTTTCGCCTAAAGGAAAATTGCTCTGAAAATGAAGGCTTGCTTTTTTTAAATCAGGGATATGCTTTTGTGGTGGACACAGCAGTGTTAGGTTTATGGTTGGACTTGATGACCTTAAAGGTCTTTTCCCACCTAAATGATTCTGTGATTCTAAATTAGTCTCAAATAGGAAAGGTAAATGTGTTCTGGTTTGAAGAAGTGTGACTGCTCAAACTAATTATGCAGAGAACATCCTATGCACTGAATAGTGCATTGTGTATAAGAGAGTAAGTTCAACAGAGAGAAGACTGTATGAGACATCTATGTATGCTTCTGAAGAGCTAGTATCTGTTTAGCTTGCAAATTTTGTTATCAGCATTTTTTTGTGTATTAGTAATCTCATGTATATGAAATGAGGGAGTGTGGAGAAAAGAAAGAAAAAAGAACTGCTAGCAAAGTGAAACTCGATACTCCTGTGAAAAGGAATACTGGTTGTATTTGTGCCTCACAGCCAAACTTTACCCCCTTTTTTTTTTCCTTTTTTTATGTGTATTTTTATAAACATGTTTCTGGGTCTTTTTATAAATACATAGAGACAGTAACTGTTGCATAAATGATATGAAATACTGAGCTTGTATGTACATCAGGAAAAAGGATGGTGCTTGGCAATTAGTTCACCAAGTGCAATTAAGGTACTTGGAGGTGAAACTGTTCCATTCCATACATAGAAACTGAATTCAAACAAACTTGGGTCAGAAGAAATTCAGAAACAAGATAGAGCTTTGATTGTTAAATAGATAAGCATGGAACAGATTGCTGTGAGTACTAGTGGATTTTTCATCTCTGATTCTGCTTACCTTTCTGGAAGAAGTACAAATTAGAAGAACTTCTAGCCTCTGTACAAAGACAATAGGCTGATGGTTGCATCATCTTAGTTTACGTAGGGTTAAACCATATGATTTCCTTGCTCCTTTTGAGTTTGATTCATGTGAATCTGTAAGTGACGCAGGTCACAAGAACTTTTTCAAAATAAAGTCGGGTGTGCCACTTCATAGTATACGTTCTTCAAGCTCTCACGAAAGAGACTATCTTAAAATGAGTAAATATATGTTGATAGGTGACTAGAAAATGAGACAATAAATCAGATTTTACAGGTCTAAAATACCTGTCTGTGACAGTTAAAATTTATGCTGCTGATATTCTGAAGCAGTATAGTATATACTTTGTGTGTGCTTGCCAACTGTTACGAATCTAACTGCCAAAGTTGATTGCATATATGTATGTAAGACTCCTTCTCAGTCTGCAGCTGATTTTTTTTTTTTTTTTCCCTCGTTGCAGGTGAAGAACATTATCTACCATGCAGTGAAAGATGCTGTTGGCACGCTGAAAGCTCATGAATCCAAACTAGCTAGGTCATAGGAACTGCTGATTCCAAATGCCCTGTGAAGGAAGCCTTTTGCTCACAGTGCATACAGGGACTGCCCATGACTGCCTCTGCAGGAGCAGAGGTCTCTCACTAAGAGCTGGTGTGGTCAGTATTACACACACTCTTCAGCCACTGTTTTCTACACTGCCTCAACACTGAAGGCCTAATGGAAGGTTGCATAGTTCCGTGCAGAGTTCCAGATTCCAACGAAAGGTGCCATGTCCCTTTCCTGTGGCCTTTTCCAAATTGAAAGAACATGGAATCCATTTGGTGTTCCTGCATATTATGATTAGAATTGCTATAAAGAGTGTGTATGGTTTTTTTTCCTCATGCCTAGTTAGTCTCCACAAAGTTAGAAGGAATCTGCTGGAGGTGGGTTGTCCTACTGCAGACTTTGCCGATAGCTGCTGATGAGTGTGACCAACAGTAGCCCAGCTGCAGAAGTTACAACAAGCTTCCCATGTGAGATACAGGCCAAGGAAAAGAATAAAGCTATTCTCTGCACTCCCCTTCTTGTAGCAGTTTCTCTATACACTGTAGAGTTCCAGAAATAAAGGGAGAACCCACTTTTTTTTTTCCCAGGAGACTCCAGAAATAGGAGGATTGTGTATTTAGTGAAAAACTAGGTTTGTAGTGAAACAGTTAATATTTCATGAAAGTAGATATTTTTAGTATTTTTGAAGTACCACAACAGTTCCTGGATTTTCAAGGAAAGGCGCATTACATTTAGTCTTCCTTTCAATAAAATCAATAAGTGATTTTTAGAAAGCAGTCCAAAATAGCACAAAAACAGCCAAAGGAGAGTGAATAGAAATTGACACCCCACCTCCCTTGCCCATATTCCTCACCTATCTTCCCCCTTCTCCCTGTGCCACCCTACTTCCTCTGAATGAGAAGTAAAAAAGAGTATAAACTCTGTTTTCATGTGGAGATGTTGTACATCTCTCCCTGCACTGGTGACTGCAGGCAATAGTTCACCCAATACCAGTGCTAGCTGAAATCATCTATCCTTTCCAAAGTGAAGGAAAAGTTAACTTTCAGTGTCAACTCTGTTCAGAACTATTTTAAGTAAAATGTTCCTGCTTGGTAGAGCTGTATTCCGAACTGACTAACGTGGGCATCGCTGCGCTGGGTTTCCTGGTGCGGGCACCCGGGCTGCATCTCCCGGGCTCCAGCTGTACTGTAGTGCCGCCTGCAGGCCCGTTAATATGTTCACGGTTATTTCATTTTTTAAAAAATAAAAGTCATTTACTGTAAGAGCCTGGGCAGTTTGTTTCAGACGTGTACACTGATCTTCCTGCTCCGAGCGTCTCAGCTTCTGCCTCTCATAGCACAGGCTACCTGTTAGTTTCTTGCCCTGTGTCTGACCACAAGGCTTGGGTGTTGTACACCTGACGTCCCAGCTGCCTGCTGGGAGCATACCAAGGGATCTACAGATTCTTTATTCTCAGGGATAGTTTAGGTAGAGGATCTGTGCTATATTAAACAACATTTGTTGTGCTGTGTTCCCCACCTCTCACTATCTTCTTGACAGGTTGGTGTTCAGAGCTGCCCTCTCCAGTGGAGATATGGATGAGGTGGTAGAGGTTCCCTGGTTTCCAGCCTTGGAGGTTGTGGTGGCAGCAGCAGTTCTGTTCACTGACTGCTCGCAGCTTCTGTGGTTGGTTACTGGGTGCAAGTAGTTCACTCCTAGGCTTTTGCTGCCTCCATAGCCTTGCAGCTATCCTGTGAAGATGGGCTAATTCAGTCTGCTGCCATTGGAAAGGATTATCCCAGGTCCCTGAACCAATCAATTTTACCATATTCCACTCCATTGCACTTCTGTTGTGCTCTGTGCATACAACCCATTCTGAATGTTTATATCCATTTCCCTCATTTGCGTGTGTATCAGCAATTAGAATTAGATAACAATCAAAAAAGACCAAGACTTGGCTATGTGTAATGCAATAGCTTCAGTCTTTTCCAATGCAGTGATCTACACTAAGAATTCTGCATCTTGTGCTGAACCCTTGTTTGGTTTGAGTCTATCAAACATTTCTTTCTCTTGAATTTCTTCTTTTATTAATCATAGAGTACAATCAACCTAAAGCAGTATTCAACCAAGATTGGAGGAATGATTTGCACAAAAAATACAGATTAAAATTAAGAAATATGTAGCAATCCAGATCTTGGACAAGATGAAGACAGGAAAAACTTACAAAATTGATCTGGTTAATCAGTTCCAGTAACCTACATTTGAAAAATTTAATCCTTTATCTGGACTGTATGCTTCAGGACATGGAGACTACCACTGATTTTGGCAAGTTGTTCCAAGTAAGTAATTTTATTTTTTTTTTTATATAGGGCACAACTCGCATTTATGTGGATTCAGAATCCACTGCTTGCTTTCCACTAAGAAAAGGTCTTCAGCTGATTAGAAGCTGTAATTGGCAGCTCTTAGAATTCTGTTCAACTAATTAAAATTTAGCTGTAGAATAGAATTTTTGTGTATTGTGTATCTGCAAACACATAGGGGTTTATTAATACTAATCAGATATATAAACATATACAGATTGTATATAATGTTCATATATGGATGTTTATATTAAACATTGCATATATATATACACATACATAGATACACTTTTTTATATATGTATATACATATATTTTTTTATATATATATTAAAAAAACCCCAGACAACAAACAACCACCACACGGGAGTTTCTTTCAAACATGTTTAGCTTCTTCTCTCTGCTATAGCCTTATGTGATGAGGGATATTTTATGGTGCTTGTATGAAGCAAGTCTGTTATGTTGATGCTGTAAGTAACCATATTTAGAACATCTGCTACATCCTTGGATGGACACAGTTGCAAGATTTAGTAATTTTTTTTAAGTAGGTACCCTTTTTAGCTTAGTAACTTAACTGAGCTCCAGACCCTTTTTTCTCAATAACTGTTTGTCCTCTGTTTACCCCTTTGAGCACTTTCATAGCTTCACACTACTTTTATGTGCTGTTTCCCTCCCCCGATGCATCTGTCTTCCAAGGGGAAGGGTTTTGGGCTGTAACATCTTTGCATGGAACCTGCTTAGTGCCTCCGATTGTTACTGTTGACTTTCTTGTGCCTCCTTTCTGTTCAGCTACCCCAGATGATCCAAGCTGTGCACAGGGTTTTAGTTTGTTCAGCATGCATTTCTGTGGTGAGCCACTAGAGACATTACTCACTTTGGAATATTCCTGTTTCTGTATTTCTGACACTAAGCAGCTGTGATGTTCGGTGGTGGTGACTGTACTGTCTTTTCCGAGTGGTGACAGCTGATCTGGAGCCTGCCACATGCACGTTTGTGTGTGTGTGGTCAGGGTGCCTTCAAGGGCATGCACTAGGAGTCTCTTTCCAGGGTGGGGTGAACGGTCAGTACAAGCACTCGCCCTCCAGTCCCCACCACTAGTTTTTATCATCCTTCATATAGAGACTATCACAAAAGAAGACAGCTGAACTCGTTATAAAATTGTTGTTATAAAAGATGTACAATCTAGTTAATTTATCAGAGTATTTTTCTGGTTACTAAACTTAAGGGGCAGCTGCTAAGTTACCTGGAATATAAGCAGATTAAAAGAGACATAAATCAGAACATTTTGAGCAGAGGGAAAATAAAATCTTCAGTTGCATGTTCTAAAATGTAGTTCACTGCTGTCGTGACATTTGCTCTGCTGAATGCTGTCTTGACATCACTAAATGGAACAGCACAAGATAGTGGGCAGGCACCATTTTTGAATATTGGCTTTAAGTTGTGGCTGTCTTTTAGCCAATGTCCTGTGGAGCTACAGACAAGTGGAAGCAGAAATTCAGGATTACATGGCTGTTGACTGGCTCAAGTGAATTTGGATTGCATTCACAATACTGAAGCTTGGTGTATGCTCAACCATGCAAGGGCATAGTCAGCACTGTCATTCTACAGTTTCACAGAGCCTTCAAAATGTTACGCAGGACACATTCATCTGTTTCTCTGTCTTAGATGAAGAGGAAGAAATATTGTCCCCAGTCTGAAGATTCCTCTTCAGTCCAACAACTCCTTCATTTTCTTGATAGCGATTAAAATTATAACGGTCTGGAAGGGTTAATTTTACACCACTTACATCTTTTCTCTGTTTATGAACAGTACTCTGAAGCAACTAAACCATGCAACATAAATATGGAGAAAGGTGAGCACTTAGTACATCAAAGGTTGTGATCCATTTGTCATTTCTCTGAAAGATTCTGAAACAGCCTCTTGTAGAACCTGAAGATAGGGAATCAGAATTGGAGCGGAGGAGTTAGGTACCGAGCAGTAACTTGAATTTACCTGCAATACAACTAAAATGAAAGAATTTACCAGGTATGGACATTCTTTGAAATTATTGCTCCTATGTACATATGACTTCCCTCTCCTTCCTCACTTCTGATAGTTCTTTGATAGCTCTCTGAGCTTCCCTGGTTCAGGCATTGGTTACACAGTATGACATGTGCTAGTGACTTAGTCACGCCTCAAGCATCTCTTGGAAGTGTTGCTTTGGTGCAATAATGCTCAAACCACACAGCATGTGAGTGAAGCATAGCATGGAAGCACCTGTGGGCAATGCACCTTACAGGCTCTGGTTACAGGTAAGTAATCTTGCCTTCTGATTGCCAACTTCACTGTTTTCCCAAACTTACCCCTGTCTGTCTGGGGTCCATAGGCTTCTTCTTGGTCACGTGATCCCATTGCATATCAGAATCTGTAATCAGCCCACAGCTTCCTCTCCCCTTAATAGGCAGTGTCTTTGAGATGACTGTTGTCAAACTTTGAAAACCTGCACACTCCTACAAGGCATTTGAAAAATAACCAGGCAGAGCTCATCTTACTTTTGTCTTCCTTACCCCCTCGCTTTACAAGGGCTTTTTACAATCTCTCTCTGCCTTTATACAGGCTACTACAAAATGGTAAAGTGAGTTTTGAGAGCTAGGTAAACCAAAATCTGCTTCCAATCACAAAGCAAAACAGGTAAAGATGGGGAATGCACTCAGAACAGTTCCCAGTTCTAGTGCCTTATCTGCCACGGTGTCAGTTTATGCTATCAGCTTGTGCTTCCTGGTTTTCCCTCATCCCTTTCTGTGGCTGATACTCTTCCATTACAGTCTGCACTTTTCAGCATCAGAATGGGGGTTCTTACTGCATTTTTGCATCCTAATCCACGTTGATGTGGAATTCTTCCACTTCACCTTTCTTCCAAAGACTCTTACTTATTCTGCTAAACTTTTCCAGAGGCACCCTTGTGTTCTGTTAGCCCTGACTAATTGCTGTTCCTCTTCATTACAACAGCTTCTGCCTGAACATCAGTTTCAGCATGATCTCTGTATCTGACCTGGCATTGTTCTAAATGTAGCTTTACTTAAGCCGCTCTACTCAAGGAACATTTAGGTTGATTCCCATGCCTTATTTAGGCCAGAATAGATTGATAGATATTTGGTCACTTATTTTAACCATTCATAGAAAACCAATTTATTTCAGCAGTAGCATATCTGCTAGGAAAATACACAGCCTTAATTTGAAAAACAAACAATTGCTTTCCTGTGTAGGTTTTAAGATCAGTCGCTACTATACAATGCTACTAATAACTTAATAGAATATCACTAATAAATAATTTTATTTTAATGTGACCTGCAACTGCCTTTTCTTCCAAAAATAGCCCTTTGGTACCAATAGTTTCTCCTTGTGGGAAGGTCAGTTAATTAATTTCTCATTCTTTATGATATGGAAAGAAATTGAGCTACTTACTACTAATTGTAAATTGCTAGCTTAAAATACCTTTCCTGAAGTTGCTCTGAAGCTCAACATGTTATTTAACAATGAGCTGTCACTTAACACATTCACAAGTCCACCTGTTCTACTAATGCTGATGTTCGTTTTCTGTTGTTCTTACCACCCTTTCTTTCTAATGCACTCTAAATCTTCGTACTGTTCCTTGGCACATTAGACAGTTCAGAACACTAAGGCACGTTTTATTTAGGTGTCACCCATGCTGCAGTTATTTAGCACTCTTACACCTCTGTGTGTTGTACTCCCCAGGTCTGAATTTTCCTGTCCCGTTTGCATCCCTGGCTCACCTGCGTGTTCCCGCTTTTTGGGTACCAGAGCTGTCACCACTCTGGTCTCTGACGTGAAACTGGTGCGCTTAGAAATAGAATTATTTTGGTGAAGGTCGTGCATGTTGGCGTTACTTGGGTATGTGAGAGCAGATTCCTTTCATCCTATTTGC